ACACACACGCTCCCCGCCGCCGCCGCGCTCACCTCGCCGCTGCACCGTGAAGCTCTCAACAACCCCGTAGTTGTGTCTGCAGTACGTGTCCACCAGGGCCCGCTTCCGCTCCAAGATGTCCGCCTGCGAGTTCCAGTACTCGGCCCAAGACCGCCCGACCTCGGTCACCGCGCGGTACAACCCCACGTCGCTGTCGAAGCGCACGAACTCCTCCCGGTTATAGAAATGTCTTTCCAGGAACCACACCCGCTCCGTCCCGTTGAAGAACTGACAATCGGACTTCCACAGATACAAGAAATGTGCTGTGGGAACAGGATCGCTGCGGTCACCCGGGCGGGCTCTTGGGAACAGACTGACGGCGACGCCGCCCATTGCGGAGGGGACAGACACCGGCACCTCCAACTAGCAGCACCGACGGTTCATCTTTCACCCGCCTGCGGCGGCGAAGGGAGACCCCTTTGATCCCCAGCTCTGGGATCCGCTCGGCTTCCGTGCTGGCTGCAGACCCCCAAGCGGGAGCCGGAGGAGGGTTTGCCCCGTCCCCACCTCCTCCTGGACGCCTTCACCCGAAAGACACTCAGGGCTCACGCCTCTCGTCCCACAGCCAGTCTCTCTCAGTGAGGACTAAAGCTCACCTCCACCCACATCCCAAGTGATAGGCACCGAGGTGTTGGAGAACCAATCAGCATCAGAAGTGACTGGCATCCTACTTACTGGTGAGAGAGTCAGTATGAAGGACCTCCTCTGAAATTTAGAATCTCTTGCCTTAAAAAGTTGTTTTAATTTGGTGCTTTAAAGGTTTGATCCGCTCGTATCAGAAACATTTTATTGGGCCCCTATTGTGACCCAGCTCTGTGTTCATTTCTAACTTTGTCTCCTAATCCCAGTAATGTCAATTATTACAATAACCAGCCTTGGCCAGATGTAGAACTCTCACTTCTGTAGTCAAGTCCTCTCAGAAGGGGAGAAACTAAAAGAAGATAACATTTTCATATAGACAGTTTATGAAAAATGATCAGGTCCCAGACTTTGCTTAGAGACCTTTGCTTAGAAATGATGACAGAGAGCAGTGGACTCTGATCATACCAGAGCTATTTTACTATTCGCAAATTCTCTAGTACCTTCTCGACACATGAGAAAGTTGAAAAATAAAAATGTTCATTTTTACGTGTTTCTGTGTGTATTTTTTGTATGTTAGCTTGTATGGTTAGCACTGTTAGTCCATGTTCATGTGCCCAACTTGCGGTTGCTAGATATAGCAAATTAAAATACAGGATGCCCAGTTAATTTTAGATTTCAGATAAATTATTGTTGTTTCACTGAAATTCAGATTTAATTGGGCATCCCGAATTTTATTTGGGAACCCTAGGCCAACTTGCTAATAAATCTCAGGAAGAGTGTATTTGATACTTCTTTGTGTTCTTCAATATATGTTCGTAGCCTGCACATAGTGTAAAGCTGTGAAGCTGCATGAAACTTTTCAAATAATAAATGCAAAATGAATAAAAATTTCTTCTAATTATTGGAACTAGCAGCCTTTGCATCTCACTGCCTCCAACACTAAGACCCACAATGGTATATATGAATGTCAGAATTTTCATCAATAATTCAGACCAAATCAAGACACTATTCACTAATGGTGAGTAGAGTCCAAGTTCTAGAATTAGAAACCCTAAATTTGAACATGAGCTCTTCCAATGGGTCAGTTTTTAAGACCCATGAGTCTTTTTCCTTTATCACTAAAGTAAATTTAATGATAATATATTCCTCACAGGATATTGTGAGGTGTGAAATTAAATAGTGATTCTTCCTAGTGCTAATCACATAATAAGTACTCAATAAATACATTGCTATTTTAATTTTTATCCCCTGTATGAATGTAAGCTCACAAGATCTTTCTATTCCTTAACTTCCTAAGGCAAATAATATCTTCATCATCATTTTGCAACTGTCTTCAACTAATTTTATTACGAATTACCAATTTGAACACATAAAGGCAGACACATTGGTTTATGTATAATAATAGAATATACATGAACCTAATACAAAAGAAGTGTGCTAACATAGAAGAGAGGAACTTTCTAGATTCTGAATTTAGACTATATAATCTGGGTTCTAGCACTAACTCTGTGACACTGGGTAAATTATTTAAATTCTTTGAATTTTAGATTCCATAAATGTGTATGTTTTTAATTGCTACAGACAAGATAGGATAGTTATGAGAACTGCATACTGAAATTTATAGGCCTGGTACGTAGTAAGTGCAAAATGTTATGGTGCTTCATGCGGATGGAGGGCAGATCACTACATCATCTAGGGTAATAACAAGTATAGTCTAGGCCACCAATTAATATTGCTGTATAATTAATGGCTTTTTGTATAACCAGTTACCACAGCATTCAAGGCAACTAATGCTTCCTTGCTGATGACTGAACATCTCTGGTTTTCTAGTCCTCCCAGCTTCTCAGGCTCTTTTATTCTTATACTTCAGATCCAGCTGACTCCCTGATCTCAGAGCACAGTCTTTCCTGAGGTCAGCTACTCAAAAGAGTTATCTGTAGTCCATCCTTTACTTCTTCAGCTCCCATCTCTCTTCAAACGGTCCAACCTGGTTTCCATTATTTATACTCCACTGACAGCAAATGCCAAGTCCACCAAACCCAGTGCTCACTTCTCTGTCATGTTCTTAGTTCACCCACCTCTTAGAGGTTCTTATCACAGCTGGCCTCGCCCTCCTCTTAGAAAAATCTACTTTCCCTTACTTTCATGCATCACATTTTCCAGGGTTTCCTCAACATCGCTGTCACCCTTTCTCCGTCCCCTTTGCTGACTCTTGGCCTCCTTCTCGTCTGCTACATACATACTCTCCATCTCTGTCTCTGTCTCCCTGTCTCTCATTATGTAACCACCTCCATTTTCTTGCAATTTAACATAGTACATGTGTCAATAACACCAACATATATACTTCCAGCCCTGGCCAGCCCCTGAACTCCAGTCTCACATATTCAATTGTCCTATTGACAGCTCCGCATAAATGTCAAAAAAATCATTTCAAACTTAAACAAAATATTTATTCCTAACTTCCCACTTTAAATTATTTTCTTCCACAGTCTTCTCTATCTCAATAAACAGCACTGCCAAATTTATTCAAATTATTCAAGACAAAATCCTTAGATAAGCCTGATTTTTCGAACTTTCCTCCCTTTAATTCATTATCAAGTCATACAAATATCTATCTCAAATCTGTTTTTACCACTGTCCTCATCACTAAATGAAGCCAAAAGCATGTCTTCCCTGGAGAAATCTTCTGTGCTCCTAAATGGTCTCCTTGACTCCACTTGTGAACCCCTACCATCCAAGCTCCACGTGGCAGCTAGAATGATTTTTTTTTTCAAATAAATGTAAATTGACTCTCCTTGTAACCCTCCAGTAGCTTCACATAAAATTCTGTCAGAGAACCTCCAGCACAGGATACAGGCCTTATAAACACTGGAGTTCAAGGAGCAAGGAAAAGAGATAATGAGGGAGGCCACTTGATATATCCTCACATATTAGGGAGTAGCACCAACATCACAGATCCTGTTGAGGCCATAACACAGGATCTTCTAGAAGAGACCCTTCTAATTCTTTTTTGACTCCCCATAAAATTTCAGAGAAACTTTCCCTTTTCTTGGCACAACTCAACATAATAAATGGAACTGCTGGATGGGGAATTATTTTCACATTATAATTTAAAAATTTTCCCCAGCTCCTGAGTGAATGGGATGCAAGGCTGGAGAGGTTTTACTGGAAGAGAGTTGAGAAGAAATGGCCTATATCTGGAGTCCCTTGTGCAGCTCTCACAGAGGGCAAACAGCCAGGCTCCTTTTGTTCTGGAAAGAAATGAGGATCCAAATGATAAAGATAGGTGGTCATTGAAGAAAATGTCATACTTTACAAAGGGACATGGCCTAGACATAGTGACAAAGCTAATTCCCTTCCTTCTCCCTCACCCCCACAATAGCTAACCCATAATGTGTGTACTTACGTGAGGTGTCCCTGGCCCAAGCCAATGGAGGGCTCAGCACCATCAGTATCACTGTCAGAGCTGCCATCCAGGAGCCTCCGGGGAACAACAGACACACCATGCTGGAAAGCAGAGAGGACAGGATTCAGGGAGCAGGTAAGTCTCACTTAGTGAGGACTAGGACTCTCCTCCACCCACATCCCAAGTAATAGGAACCAAGGAACTCATTTCTTTGTTCCTGGATTGGGTAATCTCAGTGTTGGAGAACCAATCAGCATCAGAAATTACTAGCATCATTAGTTACTGGTTAAAGATTCAGTATGAAAGACCTCTTCTGAAACTTAGAATTTCTTGCATTAAAAAGATTGTTTTAATTCAGTGCTTTAAAGGTTTGATCCACTTGTATCTGAAGCATTTTTTCGGCCCCTATTGTGAGCCAGCTCTGTGCTGGTCAGTGATGTGCACATGAGTTTGAGTTCATTAGGAGCATTAATTTCTCTTACTTGAAGACAGAACTGTTTTGACAAATGTGTGAGGGAGTGTGTTAGGAGCTGAGGGGGGTGGAGGGAAGATGATTGCAAGCTAGGAGACCTTCAATCTGTCCTAAGTGCACCATAACTTAGTGTTGTATATTTGGTGAAATGATTTAACCTCTTACAGTTGAAATGAGGGCACTGTGACCTTTTGGGTATTTCAATAGTGGAATATGTTGTGATTCTGTGAGCATCTCAAGGAGCAGTCTCCCTTGCCGACTGATGATTTAACAGATTTATAGCTGTTGATTGGAGAGTATAGTCTGTACTTCCTTACAGGGAGGGAATGTCTCTTATAAAGGAAATAATTGAAAGGTGGTCAATAAATTAACCTGAGTGAAAGGTTTTTCAGGTTTGTCTCCTGATGCTGTCACCAAGTTTAGTGGTACCGCCAGAATACACATGGAGAAAAGGGCTTAGAGGAGGTGATCTACGTGGAACGGAGGGTTTTGTATTGCACTAACACTTACAATGTGATAAAGCCAACTGTCCAAATCAAAGTATGCAGAGATGCAGAGTATGCAAAGACTGAGAGATGGATAAATTTGTATGGACAACAGCTCTGCTTTAGAATAATTAATATTTCATGTGAAAAAATGTTCAATTCCTTACTCCTGGTCCCTATTATGATTTTCTCATTTTTGTGGTGGGGCATGTCCACTTATTTATTCTCTTCTCTTGCTTTATCCTAAGAAAAAATATAAGAAGGCTTGGCTAATGAATACATTACAGAGTGTCCAGGAAATGGAAGGAACACTATGGAAAAACTATGAATTACATCCTTTGATGTAATCACATAATTTTAAACATATGATCCTACTTTTTATAATTATTACACATTATATTAATATAAATGTAATGTCTCAGATCATGAATGGACTTTAAAGAACAAATACATATCTAAAGTTCTGCATTAATTCACACCCACCACAGTTCTTCATGTGCCTTCATATCGGTGGTGAAAAAGTACTCACTTTGCTGAAATAAGAATGACTAAAATTTAGTGGATGAAATGGATGAAGATGGTCAGAAGGTACAGATTTCCAGCTATAAAATAAATAAGTCATGAGGATGTAATACACAGACTTCCAGCGATAAAATAAATATGTCATGAGGATGCTGTAGATTTTAAAAGTTCTCATCACAAGAAAATATATTTGTAACTATGTATGGTGACAGATGTTAACGAGACTTATTCTGGTGATCATTTTATGAAGCATACAAACCGAATCATGTTATATACCTGAAACTAATATAATGTTATATGTCAATTATACTTCAATATAAAAAATATATTTGCTAAAATTTATGAGCAATTTTGAGCACTTTACTCTGTACCCAGATTTATCAAGGGCTTTTTATACATCATATTTTTATTTAATTATCACATCATCTCAGTGAAATAAGTACCCTTTTCATCCACACAAATGGAAAAAATAAAGTGATGGAGGTTAAATAACCTTTGTAAAGACACAAGGCTAGTAAATGGGACACTCCAGACTGAGCAAGCAATTGTGATTCCAAAGCCCACAAGCTTAGTCATTACATCATATCACCTCACATTCAATTTCTGAAGAGAATAGTATCCTTATGTTAAAACTATTCTTATCACTTTAATTCATGGATATACATATTGATAAGACGATTCCTTTTAATAAATGACAGCGTTTTATATAATTCAAGGCAGCTACTAGGTAGCAGTTCTAGTTCCTTCAAAAGATTTCCCTCATCACCATCTTTACTCTTCTTTGGAAATGACAAATTTTGCATTTACCCATAGTTCCTGCACAAGTCTCCTTCTCATTAAAGATAACAGTGGCCTCAAAATCCCTAAATCCAATCTGTTGTTCTCAATTATTATTTCAGTTTTTTCAGGATATTAAGTGCACATTTGAACATCTAAAAATATAAATTTTATCTCATAGACTTTGGGAAAAGTCCTTGAGACTGTAAGGTGACTTCTAGTGGTCTCTGCACAGGTTCAACAGAGGGTATACATCAGCTTGCTGTATATCTGACCAGAAAGATGAAAAATATCCTTGGTAGGTATAACATTACCACTAACTGTGGTTAAATATTATCTCCAAACCCACTGAAAAATGATCTCTAGTAGTAATGAAGGGTTCTCTAGGTTAAAAAGTCTTATGTAAAAGGAAATCTTTTGTATAAATACCTCCAGAAGCATCTCTGGATCCCAGCTTCTATGGAAAGTATGAAGTTAAGTTGTCTTTTAGTATCATCTTCAATTCATTTTCCCATCTCAAACAAAGAGCGCTGGAGATCATATATTTTGATGTTTATGTTACAAAACTGCCCCAAAGTAATAGACTCACAATATTCCAATCTTCAGAATAGCACATGGCAAACATGAAAAGAAACAGCCATTAACCCAAAAGGCAATTTTGTCGCCATTAACCATTATAGCGCCATCCCTCAAATGCGTCATGAGCTGTCCCAGTGCATGAGAAACCTGGTATACAGAATCCCACAGCCATATACAATCACCATTCAATAGAAGGTACAGAATTCTGCTGTGCTAACCATGGTAGCGATAAGCAGATAATCTAGGTGAGTTGTCCTTCTAGTAAAAACTGAACCTATGCCATAGCCAGCCAGATTCTGCTTCCGGGTACAGAAGATATTGAAGAATGCTTTATGAGCATTGATGATGATGCTTATCTCTTCCGAAAATAGCTTCCATAACAGATGAAACACCAATTCACATATTTAAGAAGCTCAAAATATTCCAAACGGTATAAATAAAACACACTAGACATACCCTGGTAAAATAACAGAATATATAAGACAAAAAGAATATCCTAAATGCAACCAGAGGGGCTAAATGCAGGTTAATTATCTTTAAAGAGTGATAATTAGACTAACTGCTGGCTTTCAGCAGCAATAATGGACACCAGAAATAGTGCAGTGGTGTTTTATTGTGCCCAAGAAAAATAACTGCTTGCCTAAAATTTTACACTTTGTGACCATATGTTTCAAGAATGAGGAAAACATTTTTAGATTAATGGAAATCAAGATCATTTGCCACCAGTAGATTTTAATGAAGAAAATTCTAAAGAATGTACTTCAGGCATAAGGAAAGTAGCTCCAGATAGAAAGTCCGGGATGAAATGAGAAATGAAGAACGAAGAGGAGTAAATATATCAACTAATAAATCAATGCTAAGATTATCCTGTGGAGCTTAAAAGTAATACATAATGAAATACCCCAAAACAATAATATAAATTTGAGAGTGGGGTGTTAAATCAGTCTTATAATTATGTGTTATCCAAGAATTGGGTAAAGATACTGATTCAATTTGGACTTTATGTATGTGTTATTTCTAGAGTGATCACCAAATAATAGAAACAGTGAAAAACTCCCAAACTTGCAGAAGCACAAAACAAACAAAAACATCCCCAGGAATGACAAATATTTACATTATTCAGCTGTAGTATTTCCTGTCCACTTTCTATATCTCTGTGGACCACTCCCTTAATGCTAGAAGTTATCATTTAAAACATCAACTTTAGCCAGTCTAAATACCAATTATAAGAGAAAAGCTTACACAGATAACATTTCCTTAATTGTTTCAGTCTTTTGCTTTTGTCCAATAGTCTCTACTCTCAAAAAATGATAGGGGAAAAAATGGCATAGATGATAGAGGCTTTGTTCATCCCTCTTGCAACCAAAGTTGTTACAGAAACACAGATCTAGACAAACAGAAGCACTACAACAAGGAGAGAAATAAGAAATCACCCTGCAATGGTAGAAGACAGGAGGGGGTGAAGATGCAAGGCTGCCTGACCCGGGAGGCTGACTGGGATAGAGGCTGCAGCAGCTGCAGCAGGCCGTTGCAGATGCCTCTTAAAGGGGATGTGTCCATGACCAGACTTTTGTAGTGATCAACTCCTTTGCTCTGAGCACCAGCTCCCAGTTGGCTGCTAGTGAGGCACCAGGAGCCTACAGGGGGCCACTGAGTTGTCAGAGAAAGGGCCGGAAGCTGGGATCTCTCCAAAGTGGAAGTGCTGGCCGATATTCCTTGTTCCTCTTGTTGAGCCCTTCCCCTTCCCAGTGTGCAGTTGCAGAGCCACCACAGCTGAGACGTCATCAAACTGGGTAAACAGAGATCACTCTGCCCAGAGGATTCTCTGAAACTCCACTTCCTCCAATGCGTGGCCTCACCCAAGCCTTATCAAGTTGTGTCCTTGGTGAGTCCAGTGCTCCTTGCTGAGTCAGCTCCAAGACTCACACTGGTGGCAGCTGACCTCAGTTTCTGGCATGGCCTCTTGAAGCAACTATAAGCACAGCATGTGAATTGCTCATTGAATTTTAACAGGTCGCCCCACAGGGTGGGCTAAACTTGGCCTGCAGTTGAATCCCTCTCAGGACTGTGCCACTGAACACCTACTACACAAAGCCACACTAATAATACCAAGAGGTATAAGAGCTTTGCTTAGTACATAGACACAGACACAGAGTGGCAGCCAAAATGGGAAGACAAAGAAACCATGTGAGAGAACAGAACAGAACCATATGAGAGAACAGAACAGAAATCCAGGAATAATGGAGTCAAGCAGTCTAACAGATGCAAAGTTCAAAATACTGGTTATAAAGATGCTCAATGAACTTAGGGGAAGAGTAGAAGAACTCAGTGAGAACTTTAA